TAAATTTCGTCGAGGACCGAATGCACATGGATATTTGTTCCTCCCATGTTGTCTTGGATTCGGACTGCTCTGATGTGCTTGACCCAACGACTCTCTCTCTTGAGTTTCTGGATGTGTGTCTATGGCTAATATCTCCAGAAGGTTTTAGATCGGGTTACAATCAGTAGAACCTTCAACGACAACAGGGAATTGCTGCCCGTGTTTAGTTCTAACGATCCAACTGCAAGCCTCAATCGCCTCCGTTTTGCGATGAATTTAAATTTAGATTTTTAATTTCAATTGATTCCTCATCAGTACCACTAATACTTAAAATGATTAGGGACATATAGATATATTATCACATCTGAAAACAATGACAAGTTTTAGATGAATATGAATTGTAAATCATCATTTTCGTCCATATTCAATATATACATGATTCAATAAAATGAAACATGTATCATATTTTATCAATATTTTTAATTGAAATAATATATAATATAATTCAAATTCAAATATTTTTACATAGTATAATTATGATTTATGTACTGCAATATAAAAGAGTTGGTGGAAATTCTGAAGGACACAGATTATGAAGTTAATGTGAAACATTGTTACATGTATTTCAATACGTTTTATTTATGCACTATTAATCATTATGGGAACAATAAATATTAGAAACATTGTCAAAAGCAGCAATAAGTAATGAAAGTTATCAAATAAAATGATGCTATAATTATTTTGAAAATTTTTTTTGTCTGAATTTTTTAGCAGCATTATATAAAAATGCTATCTTATATTCTACATATGTGATCAAGACAGAGCTTTATGCTCAACAGTTTAAACACTTTGATCTTGCTGAGCAATTGAAGCAAGTTAGTTATGAAAATATCAACCTTTGGTTGTTGTAGAACACATGTACAAGATAATTAGGAAACGAAAGAAATGTATTCAAAAGTATGTAGATGAATAATGGTTTCACGCTGAATAAAATATGGATTACAATATTTATTTTTCATGTTTATCAAGATATGGTTACAATGTGACAGGTTTATAATTTTTGTTTGTTTATCTGATAAAGGTATGTCATCAAAGTATAATTGTATAGTAAAGTAAAGTAAAATATTCTACATGAAACAAAAGTCTAGCTATGAAAAAATAATAGAAAACAATTGATATAATGATTGTCAAAACTCTAGATATACTGAAATTTATTTATGCAAACAAAAAAAAAGTTTGATGAATTCATTTAAGCATATTAATTTTCTACGATGAACTTTATACGTGTATACATTGAACAATTGAATACTACAAAATTTAACTCTGATAATCTAGTGTTGCGTATGAATTACATACTCATTTTGGGAAAAAAAAATTTGATAAGAGAAAAATGCAATAGTTAATTGAAATGTGATTTCAAGATGAAGAATATATTCCATTTCAAGAGTATATTGATTATAGATGGAAAATCTATTCATTCTAATTATTGAACTTTAAATTATTTTAGCTAAGAAAACTTGGGGGTTGATACATATACATGATGCTGTTATTCACGTTTGGTCAAGGAGTTAGGTCATAGTCATAGTATGGGAAAGAAAGAGTGATGTTCATTCACAATTTCAGTTATTTGAAACAAGAAATTCAAGTTATAGAGAACCGCTATGTTGAAATTTAGATGTAAATAGTTTCTAGTTTTCTTTGAATGCATATTATAGAACTATACCTGATTTTAGATTACAGATTCTAGAAGAAATTACTTGATGGAACTCAATTGGAACATATATAGATTACTGGGATCTATCAAGTATCATTTTACCCGACGAGACATTAACGACGGTGTGCCATCAACTGTGTTCTAGTCTCGACTCGAGAATCATTGCTGTTCCGATGGGAACGTCTATCTATTGGGTCTTGTTCTTTTGATTCTTGCTTTATTTGAGATTGTAAGTGTAGCAGATTCTACTCGAAAGAAGCTCGACCTGTGCTCTCTGAAATCTAATGATGATGACGACGATGAGTACTCCTACAACTATTATTTACAATAAGCTCAATGTGCATCTAGTCTTCCACACACACAATGTCTGGTGGCTAAATACAATTGATCAGTACTTTGTTGGATCCAATAACACTATGTAGATTTCATGTCGTACACAGACCGAGCATGACATGGCAAAATTTAGACATGGTGTTCCCTCGTGGAATGGCATATGAACACACCTCCAACTCTTACATTCCCGACATTGAGACTTTGAAATGCTCCTGGCACTTGCATAGCCAATCCAATTGACAGAGCCAACACCATAGTTGCTGCCACTCTTGTCTAAGCAGCAAAGCAAAAGGCTCTAAACCAACACCAATAAAGGCTAGATTTGGAAATCACGGTGATTTCCAAATCTATCGAAACTAGAACATGGATGAGGGAACACCTTCCGTGGGGTCCAATTGATAGATTGAGACTTGATCGGTACCACTAATCTATGTGTGTACCACAAGGGTACTATCAAGTAATTTTCTCATAGATTTCGATATAGGAGGCTGCTGTACTAGTGTAATTGACATTATGCACAAGAACAGAAATAACAAGAAGAAGAAAACGTAAACAACTTGATATAAATGTGAAACATTTAATGAGTTTGCCTATGTAAAACATGTCGTGACATATTCTATGATTAGTAATGTAAAGACAAAGGCTCCATTTAACCATCGGGCCAGCAAACAAGGCTGCATTACAGCCTGAATACGGGAACCTAACATAAAACGCTGGGTATAAATATTTGCATGGAGCCAAAAGGTAGTTGAATTTCAAACTCATTTGGATTATGTACTTCATTATCCAGAAAACGACACTAAAGGAAAATTTACTATGAACTTCTTTTGTCAATTTTTTAGAGATCTATTTGTCTCTACTGTAAGAGGGGAACGTAGCATCACACTGCAGCTACTTAAAAGTATTTCCAATCTTTTATTCTACATTGTCGAGGAATCTCTTAGAACTTACTCCTGAATACTCTTGTCTCATAAATTTAGTTTCACACACTCGAGAACCGGTTCAGCAGAAGTACAGTCTCAGTGAAGGAAACGCAATTTGCTTTAGGATTTAGTTCTTCGCTCCCTGTTTCATCAAACACTGGCTTATTCTGCCATCTCCGGGCTCTAGATCAGCACTGTTTGTCCCAAGGGCTGCACTTCCTTTGACAGTGCACAATCAACGTTTCTAACACCCTGGCCATCTGCTAGATACTTGTTTGAAACTCTGCCGATAGATTGGTAAATATGCGAGACTTTGCTGGGAGAGCGTTCTCATAAGACACTCTGGAAAAGTTTGATTTTGTCAATCATTGATTCGCGATGTGTCTTCCTAAATTCATGACACATGAAAACTTGTTTCTGTTAAAAGGCTTGTCTATTATCTGAGCGGATTGCTGACTACTCAGAAAAAACATGCTTGCACTAGAAGTGTACTGTGTATCGCTTCAAATTCACATCCTCTGTTTCATTCACATTGAATGAGTCATAACAGAGAGCGGAGCTTACAGGTCAATTGAAAATTGTGCAATGGTAGATGTGGGCACGGCTTCTGGTCAACCCGTCCTGGTTATATTATCAAAGAAAACACCTGTATATGACAGAAATAGAATTACGCGTCCAGACTCAGAATGAAACTTACGCTCGGAAGTGAAGCGTTAACGCTTGAATCTCACTTCACTCTGTTCAATCAGTACGCTTACGCTTAAGCGTGAGTTGACACTTAACAGGCATCGTTCAGACTTAAAGCAAAAACGACTCCAGATGTCAACTTACATCTCCTTTACATATAACTCGCCTACCAATAGATGCTAGTAGGCTTACGTCGGTACGAAACAGTTGTCAACGTTTGCTTTGTGAAAAGCCATGAGACGAGATCATGCCAAAAACCTGGTCCGATGTATTCTCGCCCACGGACTTCTGCTCGCTCTATGAGGTATCGTCCTTTTTATTCTGTTCCAAAAAACCTCAGGTCACGATTCGTCCAAACCTAGGCTACAAGTGAGGTGGCCGTAAACGTGACATCGAGAATACCTTGGTCCTCCATTGGATGCATGATGTTAACCTCACGTGTTCATCTTGCTTCCGGTCTTTCCAGGCCATTTTCTCGAGGTTAGCTCACTGGAAACTATAGATTTTGCAGTACGCTTCCGGTTGTTTTCTAAAATCCTCAACGGCTCCTTTAACAGAGTATTTATGCAGATCTCCTGAAAACTATGTTATGGAAAGTGCATAGGTTCTATCATCACCCGCAGAATGTAAGAAGCCTGTCTGCTTGTTGCAAACAGTAATAATCATGCTGTTGGGTTACAATTATGCTGATTCTGGTTACACAGAATCGGTACATAAATTCAGCAGGATTAGGAGCAAGATCTTCGACAGAATTGAACTTTATAGGGACGGTTGTATTGTAGAGTACGCGGATAACTGTAGACACATTCTTAACTCAGACCAAATCGAGTGTCAGTTTTGGCGCGTAAAAAAGTCTGAGACTGTTACAGGATATAGGTCAACATGCCACGGGAGATAAGGGGTTGACAAAACGTAGTGCTAGTCAAGTTTTCGGATTCCGTGAGAATGTCGACAGATTTGAAGTGAATTTCTGGCTTATGAACCTCCGTACCCGTTAATGGCTAATAATTGTGCAAGAGAATCTACATATATCTTTCTCTTGAATGTTGCCAATGATATGGCAAAAGGGATCCGCAAATCGAGCGAATATGCTTACATGCAGTATAGTTCGAAACAGCCGATAGGTCAAACTGCAGGACAGCTCGTCGAGTCTCATGGAGACCCTTGTCCTGAATGACTCAGCATGTCCTATCACAACGGTATAGAAAATGCTAAAGCTTCGGATTTGATTTGGGTGGTAGGGAAAATTAACTGTGAAATTAAAGTAGGAGCCACCGAACACATGGCACTTCGGACGCGTTAACGAGCTCAACTCAGTCACGTTCTGCGTACAATCGTGTATATTATTCAAATGTCGTGCAACCGTATTTAGATGTGTACATACTTCTCTAGAGAAGTTAGCTTTGTACCTGAAATAGTCCCTTGCCTTAATGTTAGCATGTTGGTGTGCTTGGTTTCTGGGCCCATTGTTTGTTCCCTTTGACTCTGTGATCTATACAGGAAAAGCCTTTTCTTTTTCTTCTAGAGTGTCTAGTCTTTCTTATCTTTCTTTCAAAATTCAGTCCACAGAAGATCAGACCAGACCATTCGATTCCACCTGTGACTGATTCCAAAAGAGTCCAAAACCTGCAAAAATAAATTTCATAGAAATGCAGACCGCGTTTTGCGGATCTTCGCCTATAAAGGCCCTCTGATCTTGTTCCAGTATCCAAGCTTTCAAGTCTGTTCGCAGCCCAATTATCTCGGAGGGAGGCTGCTTAAGTTGACTCTTAGTCGGTCCAGAACCGCAGGCTGAGCTGAAGCTCGCAATGTCTACCAAAAGTGAGGTATAAAACAGCGACCCGTCCTGTGATTGATATTAATTTTTATTACAAGCTCCGGCTTTGATGAGAGTGGTGGATGTGCTGTACTAGTATTATCAAGTACTGGAGGATGTGTGCAAGATCTATCCCTTGTTTACTGCATTATTGAGAATTTGAGCCGTTTAGAACTTGGTTCGGAGGCCAGCTTATAAACATTTCTGTAACCAAATGTTCATCGCGAATTGAAACGTGAGCTGAATATGTACGTTCGATTGAACACGTAGCTTGTGACCCTCATCTTCATGCAGCGGCAGTGGACTGAAGGGATACTTAAGGTAAGTTTCCCGTAGCTTTTGGTTTTTGATGTAAAGCCAACGAGCATTTCCACTGTAGCGATCATCTGCGATGAGTCTTTCGGTCTTTAGACTCGGATGGCTGCTGCTCGAAAACGTGAATGTCTTAGCTGTAGTACTGACTATTCTCTTCCTAGTTTGATTCTCGGATGGAATTTCTCATGGATTGTCTCGTGCGAAAAAGTTGCGAAGACACATCCGCATTTTCGTGAGCTCGATGGACGCGCCAAGCCAGCATTACTTAAAGTAGTAATGCTGGACTTCTACCAGCTGGTAGAAGTGCCTTCATTTTCCAGACAACCATATCAATGACAGGAATTCAGGACGAATTTATTGACCCATGCCCTGGAGGGCGAAGGCCTTCCTCGATGCTCGAAGAGTACCTCCGGGCATTTTGTCTGCAAGAGTTTTTGAGAGGAATTTACTTTCAATGAGCTAACTGTAAGACTTGCTAGAATCTTCCACTATTCTAAAATCTAATTGAGTATGTGTGATGTAAAGCAAGTAACAGAAAGATAAGCATGAGGTAGAATTCGGACGAAAGCTGACAATTCCGATTGCAGTTTGTGCAATTCTGGAAAAGGCATTCATCAGAGTTGACCTGTATTGAAAGCGTCGTTAATTTATCTGCTAGGCTCCAGCTGTGTGAGCTACCGACAAATGGGTCTGATTACCGTTCGTATTACCCAGGTCCTTTTTGATACCAGACTTAATCTTTTAGTTCTTAATTACAGTGCTGAAAGTGGATTCATCACTCTGATGTATTCAACTAATGTATTCAAGTAGGCGAAATGCAAGATTGCACTTTTAGTTTTGACAGGTCGCTTCATTTTCGAGCTTGCTACAGAACTAGCCTCCAAACAACGATATGGATTGGTGCCAGAGTCCACAGTGGACTTTGACTGTACAGTTCGTAACTTGAGCAACAAAGTATGATCGCTTCAACTTTTGTAGATTTTTTTATTCTACAAGTTCCAGTCTCCAGCTATAACCTCGAAGGAAGTTTATCAAACTGATCGAAATAACTGTCACTTCCGGCCCTCTCGATGTTTTCTCTGAGTAAGCATCAACGACAAGAAACCGAATGACAGTGTAAAATCCAGTGCTCGAACGATTACCATCTATTTTGCCTCCTTCAGATAAACATTGTCAAATTCAGACCGATCCAGTTTGCCGCACTTTGTGATGATTTGAACGGTACCTTTTATCTTGAGCTCTATCGATTTATTGCAAGTGAACTAATCAGCAGAAGATCACCGATGTGCAGAGCTTGTGGCTCAACGATGCTGTTCGAGGAGAAACTGAACTCTGTATCTTGCCAAAATCAGCACCACCGAAGAACGGTAAGACCCTCAACCCTCAACGTTGACAAGGCCACATTCGAATGTTGTTGAATGATTCTCGCTGGAAAAAAATGACTTCGAATTGTAAGTTTCATCCCGAATTCAACTTATAATATGCATCGCATGACTGACTTCTCCACAACCCGAATTCACTGGGATCGTAAGATCTACTTCCAACTAAGTCGAATTGTGGGGTGGGTGCAGGCATGACTTCCATGCCAGATGATTTGTACCCCGTTGATCATGGCCTACGTTCGAACATGCTGTTTGGACGTCGGTCTGATTGCAGCGAGCTGAAGATTGCAATTCATGATTTCATTCCAATAAGCGGCATATCCACATTTGAAATATATTGTGTCGGCTTCGATGTCCATCCGAATTACTGAATCTGCTTACGAGATCCGCATAATGCGATTAAGTAGTGTGGAATCTGAAGGACTCGTGTAAATGCGCGGCGGTATGTTGTGTAGGTCAATCTTTCCTTACCAGGCATGTAATCTGCAATTGCAGTTGGATGACGTACGTAGCCGGTAGACATTTACCTGTAAATATTTACGTGCTTATTCCACATGCCATTGCAAATTACATCTTCCTTTTAGCACAAAGGCTATGATGTAGTCCGATTATGCATAGCATTTTGTGGCATGCTGATGATACATAAGCTCGGATCTGTGGATAGATTTCTTTTAGAATCGAGTCTATTTAGCGTCATGTGATCTGCAATTGCACTTGGATATTGTACGTAGCACGTCTGTAGACATGTACATATATACGTCCATCTTCCACATGCAATTGCAGATTGTATCTGCTCTCGGGTAGACTGCCCACAAAATGTAGCTATTTTTGATAAATATCAGTTCGTCTATCGCTTTGTTTTATGAGTTTTGATCTCAGCTACTTACCAATTTTTAGAATGATCCATCGGAGCATTGGAAGTCAGATGTCTGAAACTGACATAGCGGATCTTTAAGATCTAAATGCCCGGAAACATCAACGACAGTGTACATGCAATTGCATACTATATCTACCTCTTCGTTTGTTGCACATACTCTGGAATTGTAGTCACAACTATTGTATAGGGCTCGTAAAATGCTGATCTTGGAGCATGGTTTCTTTCGAGACCTGCCAGAATTGAGCTGGACGAATGCCCGTGAGAGTTCTTACCAACATCTACTTAATATGGTTGCTCTGATTTGTAATCACCGATGTACATAATTACGAATATATGGAGATCACGTATGGTAATGGTCCACGCTTAATATGGAATAGTTATAATTGACTTCGGGACATGCTTGAGAAGCTGATGATATCGGCGGTTTGTTAAAATCGATATTCTCAGTTGGACTAAGCTCTGCTTTCGGAGTCAACCAAATCAGGCATATTCGCTGCATCTAGTTTGTAATGTCACATCCGACGTCATGCACTTCACTGTCAAAACAGAGGATCAGCATCCTCGATTTAAAAACGTTTTGGAATTTCATCGACGCCTTTGGCCAGCAATGATTGTCAAATCTCCTAATTCCTAATCTTCTCGAGCATTTCGAGCATTTCGAGTCCATGGCTTCTGGGAGTGCACATGCATCGTGATATTAGACGTCGTCACAATAGCAGTTGCATCTCTCTGATCTGCTGGAGAAGCTGATGACATCGGCTGTTGGACATTCACAATTGGACCGAACCCTGCTTTCAGAGTGAGTTCAGATCAGGCACAATCCAACGTTTCTGCCCCTAGTTTGCAATCTCACGTACGACGTGGCGTTTACCTGTCAGAACAAAGGATCAGCATCACTGATTCGAAAAGTTTCTGGAATGTCATCGAGGCCGTTGTGCACCGAGCATTGTTTGACTTCTGGATTCGAGTCGATGACGGAGGGTGCATGAACATCGTGATATTCGATGTGGTTACGACAGCAGTTGCATATCGCCCTTGTGTTCGAAGAGGTTTCAGCAAGACAAACATTTCAGATGCCACCACGCTCGAGCGATGTGTATTCCATATTTTCCGTTGACTTAAGGTACAGATTCGCGTCAGTGCGACATCGGCACGGTCGAATCTTGTCAGGATCAATGATGTTTCAACTCACTCTCAGAGTCTCCGTGAGTCCGAGCGTAGCGATTCCATGCAAGTTTGTCACTGTCTGACAAGTACCTTAGTGTGGAACCTTGAGAACGTGCACGAGCATTGACATTGGAAAGAACAGTACGGTACAAGTTCACGTGCCATGTTGACCTTACTTTCTCCTCGGGTTTGAAATTAATCAACGGTGTGAGCACCGCATTATCGCATCTTGGATAATATATATTTCAAGCAGACATTATTCTCTCGTTGCAATCGTCGAAACACTTTGTTTCTCCTACTGAATATTTCTAAATCATTGAAGACTTATTCTTGTTTGCTAAGCATGCATTGTTTTTCCTAATACTTGAGAGACACATGAGTGAGAATACTCAAGAATAGACAGGAGACATTCCAGCCTTATCTCAGAGTATTTATTACACAATGTTTCCTAGAACTTCTAACATATCCACTGATCTCGGAACAAAAACCGCTGTCCTTGGTAAAGGAGAAAGGAATGAAGTGCACATATACTCAAGATTCGGAGTCCAGAAAAGTCAGAAAGTATGTGTGACATTCTCCACAAATCCATAATTTCTCCACATAAATTCCTATGATCAACTTTCTTAGGGATCTCGTATCTGGATTATTGTTTTGGGTGGGAAAGTTTCTCTGTACAGTCAGCGACAAAGAAAATCGTCAACCATTTCAGTTGAAGCTCATTCTTTTCTCACATCAATAAAACTGCAGCAAAGTCATCCGATTTAATATGGTCCACAAGTTTGCACTGACTTTTGATACAAGTCCAAAGAAATTAATGGTAAACCACCTGAGAGATAAAGGTAGATATAGCCAGCTTCTTTCAATTTTGACGCTGCCGCTTTTTTTGTAAATATAACAAGATGCTCAATTTTGGAAGAGTTTATTTTCCTGTGGCTCAAAATGTGAACACCGGGTGTGGACAAAATGTTATCCCAACGTTGGGTGATTTTTGTCACATGTTGCACGATCATCGAGATTGCACATGTCTTTTGGAAATCTGTGCAAAAAGATGGGATTGACGCTTTGGAATTCATTAACCGCCATGGGTCCAAACGCAAGACACGTGGCGGTTAATGAATTCTACCGTCGTGGTCTAACAAAAGACCACGATGGTAGATCAACGAATCAATCAGTTCCACGACGGATGGGTTGGACGCTATGGGACTCATTATCCGCCATGGGTCTGACGCAAGACCACGATAGTAGCTCAAGGTCTCAATCAGTTCTCACGAGCGAATCTGTCATCTAAGCTACAAGTTGTGTGAGATTCATGTTTCGATAAAATTCTGTCATATCTCATTATGAGAGGGCTAAGCTCGGTAACGTAAAGAAGACTACAGTAACAACCACAGTTGACTTATCCTATCAATTGTCTGGCCCAGATTTAATGTCCGTACCTCTATCAATATTGCAGATATGCATAACTTAGAAGTAAATGGCATAAAGATAAGGTCTAATTGAAAACCACTTGCAATTTTTATTGCTTTGAGCACTAAGAAGATGTATATTCAATAGATAGTAAGACACGGATTCGTCCATGTAGACTGTCAGGAATCCCACTGGCTTAAATAAGGATCATGGACCCCTCCTCATGGCATGGATGGCTTACACCAGTTGACGCTGTAACAATGTTTCACGAGATTTTGTTGTACTGTATCTTTGTTTGGCGTATAGTATTGGAGAATGGAATTTTGACTATGCTAAAGATTTCCTCCCAAAGAACACAAAAAGTCAATGTACACAATTTGTCATCACCTTCATCACAAGACATTCGGCCTCAGCAGTCGAAGGCCCTGTTTAACCAAAGTCGAGCTCCAGTTGTGAAATCAAATCATCTTATGGCTTGACCTCACATGTAGAAAACATGACTGAGAAGAGAAATGCTTTTGTCTGAGCTCGACTTCAGTAAAACACGGCTTTCGACTGCTGATGCCCAATCTCTTATGAACTACTTTTCCCAGATTAAATCGACTTTGGAACTAAAACGTCTTTCTAGTTTCCATATTACTTATGGATATCTCGGACGTTTGTCACACCCTCATTACTTTCATTCATATGCTCTTAATGCATCATAATTCCATGAATTCACTGTTGTGTTCGTTTTCTCTGCTTATTGCTTACCGTTCATTCCTTCCAAGTCACCAGGCTGTCTCAATCACATCATCCCAATACAGTTATTTTCTTTCCTCTCTTTGTGCCCAATGGTATGCAGTCTGAACATGACAGGAACATATTTTCATCATTTTTTCGTAATCCACCGTAACCTTGTCTAAACCATACTTGATGTCATTGACATGTACGTGTGCTTCACAGGGCAATCGAATCCTACACTCCAGAAAGTATCAAGCAACAGCCATAGGAAGATAAAGAGACAAGGAATGACGGAATAATGTCAGAGTCATTTGTGTTATAAACATGACATCCGTACGTATTCCTAAAAATTACCTACTTCAACAGCTGTCTCACATTTTTGCTTTCCTCATGTTTTGGAAAATCAGTCTGATTTGGGTCGGTCTATGCATTACATAATCCATACTAACATACTCATTCATGCGTCTAAGTATATTTGAACTAGTATTTTATTTTGTCAAAGACTATGGGGTATTATTTTCCATACATCTCCACTCATCCCTTTTTACACTCATGCATAATTATTCCAACATTGGGACATTGTTTTCACGTGATTGACTGTCATAGTATTATATTAACATTAAATCGCCTATATTACAGTAATAGCGACTTATCATCCTACTAATTGTGATTGTAACATGTTTTAATGTAAACAGTTGACTATTCACCTTTTGTATGATAATGATGCATGATTTCATATGTTATATGGTAATTTCTACCGAATGAAATTGTGATAATTCACCTTGGAATATCGCTGTTATGACTTGCGATGTACAAGGGTTCGGTCAGATCTATATTTGGTTCATAATAGTCATGATCGCCATTGATCTTGCAGTTTAATAGGGTTAGATAAAAGATTTTTTGGTGAAGGAAAATCATATGAGGTTTGTTGATATGTATTGGTAATGGTAGCAGTTTGAACTGGGTGATGCAAATGGAGCAATAGGTGCCAAGATCTATTCAAAAATAATTCTTGCTTTATTTTTCCTTCCTTAATTTTAAAATTTGTTGTTAAGGCCAATTTTGTCAACAAAGAGAAGTCAAAGTTCCAATGTTTGGAAGAAAGTACATGAGAATCTGAAAAAATTATATAAAAACAGGTATAACTATACTTGATATGTATTTACACTGTCGCAAAACCATAGGAATATCATATAATTAAATCATATCCTTTTCAACATTATGTGATTTGTTAAGGATTTAATTTAGAATATTAGTACATTGTTTTAATTGTAATACTGTTGACCTATTACAAAGTTGGCCATTTGGATAAATACATGCAATTATTGATAGTGATTTTACTCTTCTTATAATTTTACTTTAAGTCATATCTAATTGTACATGTTCTTTGACTAGTTCATAAGGTTTACAAATCTAGGTCTAGATCAAGTAGGTCTTACACCTACACCTATACATGACATATTGGTAGATGTCATGGTACAGATTCTTTGACCCACATACCTTGTACAAGTATGATAAGTTACAGAGATACATCATCGAATCATATACAATAAATGGGTTGTAATTCTGTACGACGAGATATGATTTCAACACCAGCTTTGGAAGGAGAATATGCGAAGACAATGTTAACATGAGATTAGGATTTTTGGATATGGGTGTTTTCAAACCTTTGACTTTTGGAGTCTTTATCGAGTTCATCAAGACTTGGTCAACTGGATAAGCAGATTTGCTCAACATTACGGATGAATGTAAATTTATAAATGACAATATATGCATATAGGTATGTGTGCATCGATATCTGCATCTAATACATTTTTTAACTATTATTCATCCGTGAATGAATCTGCTCTTTCATTTATATCAAAATTATTATATATACGGATAAAATTATTTTTTATAAAATTTGGTTAGGTATATATTTTTTAAATTTTAACAAACAATACATAAATGAAATAATATATACAGTGAAGATTCAAATGTTCCATCTTTCTCACATATTGAAAAATAATATGTTTATATTAATAGAATATCCAAATTTAATGATTTTGACCTTATAGAGTAAATTAAACTTATAATGTAATTAATATTTGATTGATAATAATCATTCAATGAAATGTTTAAAATTATTTACACTAAAATTTATCTTATCGTGAAACAGCTACAATATTTCAAGGTGCTAATGTTTACAGAATTATATATATTTGAAATTGATAGTGATTCTTTTAACTTTTAGTTTCAATCAATTAGTGTAAAATTTGAAAATTTCTCATTTTTTTTTAAAATTTCTATATTAAGTACTATAGTTTTAAATTTCAAAAAATTGTTAAAACTAATTTTAACATGAAGCTTAGATGTTAATTTTTTCTCCAAATTTGGTACAACAAAGATGTCATACATTATTTTTTGACCTTTTAAAAAGCTCTACAATGTATATATTATTTTATAAAATATATATTCTGTCGATATATTATATTTGGTAAAAATTTTGAGTATGTTGTCATTTTTGAGAAGTGAAATTTCCAGTATTGAGATATCAAATGGCAAAAATTCAAAATTTGCGATAGATTATTAATCAAAAATAGATATTTGAAATTTTGCTATGTAAATTCAAGAGGATAAGGGTATTTATTAATATAAAAGATTCTATGTGTTGGTTTTTTAAAATTCTTCAGTCAAAAAATATTGAAATATATAATTTTTTTATCATATAAACTATTACTTGATTATTGTATTTAATAAATCTGATACACAAAACGAAAATTCTGAGTATTATTACATGAGACTTTATGATATTTGCCTGGAACATTTTATATTGAAAAATAAAATAGGATTTACTTAATTTTTTTTAATCATCCACTATAATTTCTGATGCATTGATTTAAATCAAATAGAAAAAAATTTTAGGAAATACAAAATTTTCAAATTTTTATATTTATATTGCTTTATATAATTATATCTCTTCTTACAGCTTCATTGTTTTATATGGCAGCATTTAGTTCAAAATCATATAATTTTGTTTACGTCTTATAATTTCATGTTTAGTTCATTTACTTCTGATTACTTGTGATATGTGTTTTTAAATAATTTTGTAATTGATATCTTCAGTTTTTTTTCAATTTTTAGATTATATTTTGGATTAGAAATATTCGTTTACATTTTTTTGATATTTATAATATATCAAATTTATTTCTCAATTTTCAAAATATATTTGTTTCATATTTCTCATATCAAATGTTTTGTTCAACTTTTGATATATTTTGATCATTCTTCACGTATAGAATTTTGGATCGATGAATAAAATTATGCGTATATTAAGTACATGTAAGAAAATAAACTATTTGATGATAGTTTTTAGAATAATTAAATTATTTGGTACCGAAAACTTCTAAACTCTAATCTAAATGTTATGAGAGTAATTTTTTTTCTTCTTTTGAGTCCATTAACTAAATGTTGTATTTTGAGTATGACTTATATTTAATTTTTCCATGTAGATGATTCTACATGCACAATTTTTCAGAAAATACATAAAGGTATATTACTGTATTTCCACATTAATTTGTAATGAATGGAGAAAAACTCACAGAACATAAGAAAATATTTTGAGTTGAACTCTTTTTTTCACATGAATAGCTTGATAGTTGATAACATTTTTCATCTTTAATTTGACATTAAGTTGCTTAAGTCAATTACGCGATACAAAGACTCGTGAACAATAATCACATTTCGAATTGAACATAAATTTCCCTGAACTCGAGCAGGGTTTGACTTCAGCGTCTAGTTAAGTTTTGTTGAGCAGGTCTGAATGATGTATGCAGATGAGTGTGCTGTGCAGATTTACGTGTCACTGTGCTGCTGATGAGACGATGATGCATGAATTAGATTGCATGCAGATTATATTCTTCATAATGTTGAGTCCTCGGTTACATTGCGCTTGCGTGCAAACAAGAATTTGCTCAACGGCTTGTCAACGAGCGCTCTCTCCAAGGCTTCAACGTTGACGATGATGGCCAAGGTGCTTATAGCGTAGACTTCACATCTGATTTCGATGGCCACGAACAAGCTACTGGTATACATCCCAAGCATCAAGTTGAATCCCTTTCCATTCGAAGTACGTGAATCTGCTGCGTTGTCACTTTTCGCTCAAAAGCAGTAGAATGGATCGGGTGATGATCAATCAAATCACAATCCGGCAGCAGCTGAGAAGTAAGAGGGCTTGGGGCTGTCATGTTTCCATTCCTGCCTTCTTTTTCTAAGTACAAATAATACATGCTTTGCTAAGACCATCGCCATTCGTGTCGTGTGAAGATGACTCACTCAGGCCAGGTGCAGGTCAGAGTACATAATTGCATAACGGTCATGTTTCTCTCCAAGGGGCGGCGGTGGGCGACCTACGACGGACAGCTTCATGCTAGGGGGATTGATAAACGGGCTCTCGCATTATTCCTGTTCTACTTATACTTGGGCTGCGATTCCTAACAGCATGGATGCGATGATGCGCATATGACCTGCTGGTCCTTCCTGCCCAGTGTCTCAATCCCCACAAATTTTGACACAATCTGTAATTGTCCTCGATTGTGACCTCGTTTCACCTGGTCGGGTGTCCTAGATGCCCTCTGTCTTGTCACAGGTATGGATCTAGATCCTCAAGCTTCCCGTCATACGTGTAAGGCTCAGAACTCATGAGGAGGAGAGCGTTCCAAATTGGAGACACCGTAGCCTAGAGACGAAGAATATAGTCAGTTATCAGTAGGGCCAGGAGACCAGAACCTACCACCTCTTGCTTGAAGCTGAGCGATACTTTTCGCTTTAGCTGGTCACCGACTGGGTCAACTTGGAACTAGGGATTCGAACTTGGAGCGGGCATAGAAGTCCATGAGCTCCAGGTTCACATAGATATTCTTTAAGGGGAAACTTTAAGGGGAAACAGCTTAGTGGATTGCTGTGACCGGCCGGCATTTGTGAGATGGAAGCAACTTGTTTCCCGAAGAAAGAGCTACTTTTTTTCCTTCACTTTTTGGCTGCAGAGGTTCTTGGGAGCAATTGAATCGCAACTTGACAAGAAGAAACAGCATCAAAGTCTTCCAGATCTTTTCGACAATTTTCGACGTATATAATACAGTTCAGCTCCAGTGCTGATAACTGAATTCTGTACATCCAATCGACAAATATCTGATGCTGATTATTGATTTTTAGATAATGACTCTTGTCGATATCGTTAGAGATATTGTAAGGTCAGGCCTGTTGTATACTGTTTTCTAGTTCACGAAGCTGGTGCGCATTGTGATCCCTGAGACGAAATAATAGATCATAAGGAAACACAGAGAATGTCTTCGGGGATTATGCAATTGTCTGCACCTGAGTACGTAGATGTCTAATTCTAGTTTAGAAGAAGACTCAAACGGATTGTTTAGCGATCATCATTCTGATCATTACCTACGATCAGAGACCTACTTTTTGAAGCATTTGAGAAGAGCAAAACGTCAAACTTGCAGACTTCGTGAGATACTAACCATCATCCTTCGAACAGTATGCAACGCCCTTTACGTTATCTGCTTCATACGGCCCCTCTCGCATCAGACGTCTTCAAGGAGGATAGAAGTATAATAAACCTAGCTATTCCAAAAATTGGATTGAAACTCCGTGTATGTCGATGTTGGACTACGCCAAGAGTTTTGATATTTTTTTTTTCTAAGTCGGCCACGTCACATATGAAAATTGAATCCAGAACTTGTGATGCGCATATATATATATATATCTGTCTCTGGAAAGATGGACACTGAACATTGGACATTATATCAAGGGTAGGTGCAAAGGTACCGTCCATGCCACGTAGCTCTTCGTAAAAAGTTGTTGCCAAATTACTTATACGTCACTTTTTAGCAGCAGAAGCCATGATTCTAATTTGAAATATCCATCAGAGTCAAGCAAGGATCGTACACCCTACCTTCGAGCGGAAAACGACTGTCATTCTGAAGTCAAGCTCAGAAAGGGGAACTCGGAGCTCCAAAGGAACCACCTTTAGGCTCACATACTCCTTCCTTGACAGCGCATTTTGATTTTCTCCTGCAAGAAGATATTAAGCTATATGCTCCACCGTTGGTTGACGTGGGAGTTACTCTTCTCTCTTCCTGGTCAAGCATCTATATTTTGGTTTGTGTCTGACAAGAAGCCCAGAAGTTGAGTTTACTGCATAGACGTTCGTCTGGACGCATCCCCAACTCTGCATTGTCGTCTGAAAAAATCTGTAGTCCATAGATAGATCCCCGACTTCAGTTTTCACTGATAGCACCTCCCTTACTCTTTCTCAAAACCGGGAATCCGGAAACAGGGGCTCATTCTTTACTTCCAAATATGGCTGCTGCTCCGAACGAGGTATGGATTCAGATCTAAGCGCTTGGCTTGCTATTCGGTCGTTGTTAAGCATGAAGGATTTGTTTCAGCTGAGAAATGACTCAATTTTTTCTGTAACTGCTTTGTAGCTCCTCTACCTTGGATCCAATCAACCAGGATGGTATGCCGGTTACAATTCTTCCTGGATAATGCCAACAAGAGTTGAGAAGGTACCTGCGGAGAAGCAAGATGATTCCAAGAAGGGCGTAATTGAGATGAGAATGCCTTTCTGTTGCGACGGTTGTGTTGAGAAGGTACAAAAGAAACTAAAAATAATGGAAGGTGTAGGTTCAGTTGAGATTATTACCCAGAGCCAGAAGGTGATTGTTAGAGGTACTGCAAAGCCTACGGCAGTGTTGAAGGAAGCCAAGAGGATTGTGGATCGTACCGAGTTCTGGAAAGAAAGAAAATAGGTGACAGTTTTCATCCGTGGACTTCGGAGCTGCACACTTGTGTTTATTTGCTCTTTCATCTTGCAGCATCATCAAAGGTCCATGCAATCATCTTGAACCTGGTGGCACGGACAGTCTCACTATAACTCGCTTGAAGCTTCCAGGCATGAGGAATGAGGTAATTCAACAAGTACCGTTAGAAGCTATCAACATAAATATGATGTATCTGATTTGTTTGTACGATTAGGTAAATTAGCCTCGACATCCGATCACTTAAAACGTAACAGGCATATTTTCGCGCAGTCCAGGAATTATAAATAGATCCAGTAACAAGTACAGTAATTAGCACTAATGAACAGTATTTGAGCTGTATCAGATCCATGGATGGTCTGTGTGTTTGACTCCACTTCTATGGAGTCCTCCAATGAAATCACCTATTGAAAGCTACTCAACACAAGTTTATAAATCTGTTAACTTGAGGTGTTTTCTTTCTTAGTCTCTTATTCTGGAAAGAAAGATGGGATTCTGATTCAAGTGCGCGGATGCATGCTTCTGTGAGAATACAAGAGTAGCACGTTATCACTCATAAATACGTCGGGTTTTCAAGAAACGATGTAGTCTAAAATTGGGTATTCAAGAATCGCTGTGGTCTATGTTAAACTTATTGAGGTCCATGTACAAACTGATGAGTTTATAATCTACCGTAATTTGACTAGTTTGAAGCAACAAAGCATTCTTATGCAGCGAGACTTCCGGTCGCAACTCCAAACAGATAGATATAATATTTATATATAGTGACATATTTCTTATCCAGAAAGAAAATCCTTCATTCTTTAACAAAACAGTCTTCTTTACATTGATTTTATTTCAAAGAAACAGATTAAATGCAAATCACTGAAATCGTTCTCTAAGTAAGCTTCCTTGAAGATTAATGTGACCATTTATGACATCAGGAAAAAAAAGCTCTTGCAAGATATATGAGACTAAAGCTGAGTTCACATATACTTTATAACGTATAGATCAAAGAAATAAATAAGTACTTTTGAACCAAAATTTCAGAGTTTGAGTAATCATTGATACAATTAAAAAAGGTGGGTACATTTGACATGTGTTCAGATTTCTGTCCAAATAAATGTATCCGATGGAGTATTCGTTCTGAAGTTTCGTTAGTCTAGAATCAAAGCTTTCAGCTTTTTTCACTCTACCCAGCTTACTTCTACTGCAGTCTGTGGCCACTGTACTATGATGTCACGAACTGCGTACGATGGAAGATTGCATAATGCATCATGAAAAGCGTGTGGACACATATTGTGAATCCCGGTCAAATCTGCTTCTCCGTTTCAGGACAGTGAGGTAGTGAAGACAACGATAGAACACTCCTCTCAACGACTTACGTGCCAGGATCGAACGAGCTCTTTTCATGTTTGTATAAATATGTCGTGAGAGAAAAAGAGAGAGAGATAGAGAGAGTCGTGACAGTAAAGTCTTCTGATGTAACCATGTGCTTTATTATTAGTTTTTCCTCACTAGGAGTAATCTGCTCTTTTTCGTGCATGTGCTCAGCAATGTCTTTGTAGATAATATTTGTTGGGCTCAGGATCGTTCTGGTCTACGTACAATTCTCTCATGCAAACCGGGAGTGAACATAATCTAGATCAATTGTGGGTGGAATTTTATGGGCAGGTAACTCAGAAATTGAGTTAACTGACTTCACCATATCGGTGTAATTAAAGTGCAACTGAATGCTGCGGTTAGAACAGCTGTAGAATAGTAAGTACTCGTCTATTGAAGATTCAGCTTAGACACCTAAGACGGATATAAATGAGCTGTATTCACACCTATCTCTAATCATCCTAGAGTCCCACTCATATCTTGGTCTATTATGTCTGAGATGCTTGTAGACTATGTCTAACATGCCAAGACCATCAGTACTCTAGGCCCCTCAAATGGATTTATTATGGTCTGTGATGGACAACGCTACAACTATATACCTTTGACAGCTCACACTCACAGTTGCTCTTGCATGAAAGAATGAAGCAATATCGAAAGTGGATTTTTGGGTTTCCTCATTGCAGGCTCAATCAACGTTGGTGCAAGCAAGATATGGAACTATCCGGATGCATGTTAAGTTTTTTGGTAAATATTGATTTTGCTTTTGACGTACCTGAAAGTCCTCTTAATAGTTGCAACATACTTTGTGGTAACACGCTTTTTGTTTTTTTTGCAGAATTTAAACAATTTTAGAAAACAAGTACCGAAGCAGTGTCTGTAGTTAGAAAAGTGTACGTTAAATAGAGTGGATTGAGGAGATCGTCACGAGGTCACGAAGAATCGCGAAGTCGGATGTACCAACGCCAAATGTCTTCGGCGCCTTCGGCAAAAGCTCATTTTCTGAGGTGTCTCTACTCACGCACTTCCAGCGTTTAAGGAAGCTACGCTTCCGGCGCAGACACCTCCGGAGTAGATTTTGCTAAAGACGTCAGAAGAACGGCACGGACCTCTGAAGGCTTCCGACCATGAGTGCGCCTTCGGCGATGCGCCGCTAGCGCGGAAAGGGAAACCTTTCTAACGATCGGAATACACGGTAGTTCCAATTGGTTGAAGTTGCATTGGAAAGAGCTCGGGACGCTCGTCCTAACGAGCCCAAGAGCGTCGGAGATGGATCAGGGACGAAGAAGTTATGAGCATCGGAAAACTCGTAGCCGGACATGCGCCGTTCGCGCTAGGGTTCAAAGTCGGAAAGGACTCCCGTACGCCTTCGGCGATGCGCCTTCGGCGGAATCACGCGCTCATGGGAGGAAATCAACTCAGAGTCAGAAGCGCCTTTGACGGCTGCGCAACGGAAGAAACGCGCTGGCCGGATGTACGCCTCCGACGTGGCGCTGATAGGCGGATGCGCTGGCATGATTTGCGCCGGCGGGATATGCGTCGTCAGCAATAGACGAGGCAGAACGGACAAAAAAAGCGGTACGAATACGCGCCGGCGTAATTCGCGCCGACTGGATGTGCGCCTCCAGCAAGGCGCCGACGGATAAGGAACACGCCAGCGGCGACACGCCTCCGGTGATGGTCGGGTTAGGAAAAGACAACATAGCCGACGTATACACTGCGGCGAACTCGAGTCCGGAAGACGCTGGAGGCGGGAGAATTCAACATTCACGCATGCGAATGCGCGCAGTGCGGAGACGTGAATTCGAGCATGCAAGGGCGAACCGTTAGGCCGTATAGCCGGCTGCATAAATTGTAACCAGTAAGAACGTTGGACGATCTTGAATTCGGAGAAGAAAAGACTGCTCTCCAGTCTCATTCTCTCATTCTTGATTTTGCGATTTCCAGCTTCCAAGATTACGCGCAAGGGCGGAGAGACCTGCAGTGAGAGGAGAGAGTGCGGAGACGAGTTGCGCAAGGATCTTGACAGACCTTGGAGAGAATTTGCGAGTAGCGAACTTGAGCGAGAGAAGAGAGAGAGACAGCAGTCAGTACTTGAGCGGCCGACGCGCAGCGGCGATTGTGAGAGAGCGAGCGGAAGGGAGAACGTCTGTGTGTGCAGGAAACGCAATGTCGAAGGTCCCCCAGCTGCGAGTGTCTCCACTCAGGGTGCCGCAGATCGGTCTACGCGCATTCCAAGATGTGCTGACAGGGCTGAAGCTCGATTTCCTCCTGTGGGGATGGAACTGGACATGTCCGGAGATGGTGCGCGAGTATCTGCAGGAGAGACACAAGCCCTCACGCGGATTCCGTCCACATCTAGAGAGGTGGGACATTTGTGATTGGGCGCAGGTGTTGGGCAGGTGTGCCGGCGAGGAAGGGTATCTCCTCTTCGAGGCCGATAGCGTGAAGGTGTCCAAGGAGGAAGAAATCTCCTACAATGAGCTTTTCAAAGTTGCCAGGCATCCCAAGAACGGTTTCCGGACACGGGATTACAAAGATCGATTGCGGACAAATGTCGCGACTGCATTGCTGCAGATATTGCAGCCGACCAAGACCGCTTACATGCATGGTTGGCAAGTAGGATTTGTGGAGCTAGTGTTGTCAGGAGCTCCAGTGCATTGGGCACGGCTCCTGTGGAAGGTGACGCGCCAACATGCGCAAGAAGAGAGAGGAGGAACCCTCAATCATCTTTCGCCTTACCTGATTGTGTTTTATCGGGCGATGGGATGTTTGACAAATTCAGAGAGGACACGGTTTCCGCTGCTGACCCGGAGCTATCCAGGTAGATACTCGCGGGAGGCCGAAGTAGACACGGATCCAGACGAGGCCCCTGCCAGTCCGCCTCCGGCTCCGGCTCCAACAAGAGCAGCAGAAGAACGTCGAAGTGAGCGCGCTCCGCGAAAGCGGAAGTGGGATGAGAGACCTGAGGACAGGCAGCCGGAAGTGCCGGCGCAGCTGGCACTTCCGGAAGTGCCAGCTGCGCCGACTCGTAGTCGGCCAACCAACGAGCCTCACAGCCGACCGAAACAGAGGGCACGCAAAATGCCAACTAGTACTGAGGAGACCGGGCGTACTCCGGTCCGGCGGAGTATCCTGCCCACGCAGGAGGAGATAATCGCGCAGATTCTGGGGAAGTCGGCAAATACCTCTACGCAGAAGGCACCAATGCCTTCGGAAGAAGACAGAAGGACTGACAGTCGGCCGACTACGAGTCGGGCGACTGAAGGTCGACAAACGGAAGGAAGGCCGACTGAGTGGCGCGTTGAACCGGACAGCAGGCCGGAAGCAGAAGGGAGTTTGGCTGACGAGCCAACAACCCTCAGAGGGTTGTCTTCGGCGGAAGGCACTTTTGGGAAAACGCCGCCAGCAAGCAGGCCAAGTGGAGTGAAGACGCACAGGGTGTATCCGACTGCCAGTCGGACACCTGCTAGTCGGCCGACTGCGAGTCGGTCAACAGAGAGTCGGCCAGATTCGCCGACTGCGAGACGGACAGGGCCGGCGACCAGTGTGCGGACGCCTTCGGCGGACGCACCTCCAGCGAAGACACCTTCCGCGCAGATCGCGCCGGAAGGGCAAGCAGCAGAAGCGGGCGGTGCAAAGGTGACAAAAGTCACTGCGGCGTCGACCCCTTCGGAAACCGAAGATCGAGCCGGAACAGGGGCTCAAGCAGTGGGATCCCCCATTGCCTTGGATATTTTAGCAGGAAGTGGAGCGGCAGTCGCGGCGGAAGCTGCTGCGCGCCACAGTTCCAGGGAGTCGCCAAGGGATTCGGTGGCGACTGAAATCCTCGAAACGGAGGATGAGACGAGCTCGGAAGAGCAGGAAGCGGACTCTGTGCAGAAAACGCCAACAGGGGTGTTGTGCGAGTAGATAGTTCCACTCCTGCGCTATCTGGATCGCAAGACATCCAAGTACTCGGGTACCGGAAAACCGCAGTCTTACGTAGAGACTGTCAAGCGCAGGACGAGGAGCAAGGTGGCCACTTGGGCCTCTAGGTGCCAAACATTGCAGGATAGGAACGCTACCCTCCGACAGCACCTGGCGGTCACGCAGAAGCTA